AGCCGGGGCATTCAGTTTAATCCTAGAAAAAATGGCATTTACTGTCATTTGCATCTTTTTGAATCAATAATGACACCGACATTGGGACCCACCTGCATTTCCAACAATTGAACTTTTGCTTAAAATGTTGTGAGAATCCCACCCAGCGTGTCCAATTAACCACACGTCGTAAGACACACAAGTATTACACACTAATTTACCACTCATTTTTACTATCGTATAATTTTAACAACTATAAAAAAGAAACACAAAGAAAAGATTTAGGGAAAAATTCAAATACAAGCGTGAAATTCCCAATTTTGGTATCCTCAAGGATCACCCCTGACGAGTTAGCTCGACGTATTTTCATCTACGTGTCGTTGGTCGTCGCGGTTTAGGCTCTTCAGGTTAGTGTGCATAACCCCAAGAAGGTGATTCGATCCGTTAACGAAACCATTAATGTCGTTAATATAATAGGACTCTTACCACTAGAGTTTTATAATATAATAGGACTCTTACCACCAGAGTTTTATACTTATATGAACACCATATCTCATAACTCCAACCAAATTACAACTCCTAAGCATGAAAAAACTCTCAAACAATTCACAACTCTCAAATTAGATGCTCAACTGATTTATCTTACTGGGAGTATACTACCTACATCTTTAAATACAAAACATTGGATCATTATTCATGTATGATTTTACATTTAATTTATAATTTTACGCTTATATTTCCCCATCTCGCTAACTTAAGCATTGGAAGGGTGACAAGATCACACCTTGTTGACTTTGTTTCAGGTCTTAGAGTTTCTGTTCGATTGCTTCTTTCATCGTCAATCTCAAGAATTAATAGGTGTGAATTTTTTGTAGTATCATTAACACCGTCGTAGCAAATGCTACCAAAAGTCATAGTTAATACACGTTCAGTAAATCTTTCGGTCAGCTCATCCGCTCCTAATCAACCCCTACTGAAGATCCTCAAGCGCCGTATGAGGAGTTATCGGGAATACCAACACCCCTACCAACAATCGTTGCTCCCGGAGCATTCGAAGAGCTTCGCCAGCAAGTTGCCACGCTAACTCAATTGCTAAGTCAAAAAAAAATTGTATCCTCCGAGACCGCACCTCATTGCCTTTGTTTCATGTCTTGAAGATTCTGTTCGCGTGCTTCTTTCGTCATCAAACTTGAGAATCAGCAAGTGTGAATTTTTGATAGCATCAAAATGTGTTTGCTTCTTTATCACAATAAGTTACTCAATTTGCTTTTTAAGTAAAATGTTAAAACGTAGCCAGACATGGTAATTTGCTTGACAAAGACGAAACATAAGAGAATGGGTGAATAATAATTTGGTGCATGCTCCACTCCCACCTGAATTTTGAGGTAGAGCAAATGTATCTAACATGCACGTTGATGAATAGAACAATACACAATTAATATGTCGGCATGCCGGCCGGCCGACAACTTAAACTGCCAATTACCCGTTGGTTGGTTAATTACGACATTCGTTCCATGTCATTCCGTTATCAAATATTGACAAATTAATATATGATTATTAAATATCATTATATTCTATTTAATTAATTCTTATTTCAAAGAATGCTGCTTTCCCAATCTGACACGTTTCATTTATAATTGTTAATTGAGGAAATTACAAGAAATATCCACTTTCACATTATCATCAGTAAAAA